GGACATGGGCTTGCTCTAATATATTCTAGAAAGAGGAGACAGAATAGTCCAAAAAAAAGTAACTTTTAGTATCTGAAGGCAAACAGCTTTTCTCAGCAATACTGTCTCAAGAAAAATTCTCTCCAGCACCGATTTATCAGTGCACTACTGAGGCTGCATTCATCAGGCATTTATACAGAAATAGGAAGACTGAGTCATTCTCAGTATTATAGAAAAGCTGAATTTTCTCTGAAAAAGTAGACAACAGACTTACAGAAGTTAAAAAGAAAAATTGCCCTTCATTTTGTGTTCATCCATTTTCCACCTTCTAGCTTAAAGAGGAAGCAAGGAATGAACATGTGCGGATTCAGAGGTCCCTAGTCTTCATAAATTCATGCCTGTCAAGTTTAAGATTGAATCTTTGCTTTGATGCAAGCTCTCTATAGGACTGTGGCCAAGTTAATTAACCAGCTCATGGTTCAAATGTTTCGTTTGTAAACTGGGAGTAGTATTTGGATGAAAACTCAAGTATGGCTACTGAATAAGCTAGTATTTCAAGATCATCAAGAAGGTGGTGTGTAGTGGGTTAGAAACATGGTCATGTCAGTATCATTCACTTCAATTGTGCATGCTGTCCAGAGCAAGTGGAAATAAAAAAGATATTTTCCCACATATAAAATGAAAAGATAAACCAAGGGTGCTAGTTTCACTAAATTTTTGTCAGTATTCATGTTGAAAAATATACAGTAAAACTAGACACATGAAAACTATTCTTTTGCATTGTAGACTTAGCCTCCTGCTTCTGTTGCGCTATGGAAAATAAGCTGCTTGCATGTATCCAGCATAGGGGCTCTAGAATCACTCTCCAGTTTCTTCAACAATAGTTTTATTTCAGTTGCCAACTTTCACTTGTAAGAGAAATTTGCTTTGAATACCTGCACGAGACCTGTTCTGTTAGAGCATCCCTACATGACAGGACTACTACATGACAAAGGAAAAAAACCAGGTCGTCAGTCCAATAGTCATATAAAAAGAGCTCACCATTCCTAAAAAGAGAACAAGTGAAATACTGACAAGCAGATTAAAAAAATGGAGTGTAATCTAGTTTCAGAGGCAGAATCCATTTTGGACATGGAAACAGAAGGATATTTTTTGTGTTTTGAGGATGCAGAATTTGTTTTCACTAGTGCGACTAATGTACTTTGAAAGCTGTCCCTATCCTGGCTCTCTCCTTTCACCAGGCAACTGAAAGAACATAGATGTTTCCTATGTAAATTTCATTTTTTTTCTAGAGAAGGAACTTCTACTTCTGAGAGGACAGCTGGAATACTTTCTGTCCATGTCTTCACAAAAATATTCTGTATTATCAGCATGAATTCAAAGATAGGAAGATGGAGAAGTGAAAAATTAGGAGAAACTTCAAATGCTTGTTTAGAAGCCCTATCATTAGTTAAAATCAAAAATGAGACTTTCTCAAGTCTATGTGTTAGTAATGTATGCAAATGCAAAGAACCTGTAATTTATGATTTTATCATTTTGAACACTCAACAGAATGTAAACTTAAAGGACCACAGTCAGAAGCCACACAGCAAAAAACTCTTAAGCAAAAAGCTCTTGATTTCTGATACTAATTTCCTCCATATGGATAAACATGTGCAAAAAAGTACAAGACCTACTGTGTACTTTAATTTTTACTAGAAGGCAACCTTCCACAATTTAAGTTTTTGCATACTCAGTAGACAAAGTGAACACAGTATTATATTTGATTGTTTTTAGAATCAGCAATATCTTACATTCTGCATTTTCACAGCCTGAAAGACTGTGATCAGCCTTGTTGAATGTCTAGACTTGTTAGGCATTCAGCAAATTCTCTTAAAAGTGCTGTATTTTAACATAATTCCAGGCTGCTAGCCTGAAACCAAATCCTTACTTCTATGAATTCTGCATTAGTGCACTCTGATAATTAGTCAATGGTAATACACTTCTGAAAGATGAAGCATACTCCTACAGTATATATATCTCAGATAAAAACCACTGTGTAATAAGGAAAAATGTGAAAAAAAGACAATCAAACGTATATTTGTATCAAAAGTATGGAGACAAGCAATTTAATATTCTTGCAAAAGAGCTTCTTTAGAGTTGAAAATAGTTTCTAAAAGCTCTCTATGTATTTTTAGGAGAGGTGATACAACTTCGAAACAAAGAACTCACATTTAGGTAGTATTCTCAGAGCAAACAGATTACGTTATGTATGACGCATAGATATCCTATACAATTTTGAAGCCAGTTTTTCATTAAAAATAGTTCCTAAAATTCAGTAATAATTGTACAGTTGCACAGTTGTACAGTGCAATCTGTAATGCTGCAGAAAGTTTGTTATAGAAAAATTTCCTAAGTATTACCTTCTGTCAGTCTGTCTCCACTGGGAAAGTGGACTGTAGATGCATTTCAACAGAAGTGACGGATACTTATTGCTTTGTGCAACTGCTCAACTTGAGCATATAAACTGCATCTCACTGGTTTTTTTTTAATATTTCACCAAAAGCTAAGTGTGGAAAGCCTGATGATATGGCTTTACCTTTTAAAGCTGCTTATTCAGTGGCTAGGAGAAAGTAGAGGAAGGTGGGAGGATATTTTGACCTCATATACATGTTACTGTCATATTAATAAATGACAGTATTAACGGCAGGTAGCCGTATAGAAGCAGTTTGAGACTGTATTTTAAATTATTATCTAAATGTAAATAAAAAGAGGGTAGAAAAGGTAAGATTAAAGAAAGGTGTAAGATTCAGCCCTTTTTCCTCTTTATGTAGTTGCTATCATGAATTTCTATTCTTGTTTACCATCTTTAACAATGACCTGGAGGATGTGAGAGTATAGTTTCCTCAAGCTTGCAGATGACAACCAATTGGGAGGCAGGGCTGCCATTCAGAGGGGCCTAGACAGAAGACAGGCCACAGGATGGGCCAGCAGGAATCTCATGAAATTTAGTAAAAGCCAGTGCAGTGTCCTGTACATGGGAAGAAGGAATCTCAGCAACAATGCAAGCTGGGATGGATGGGTTGGGGAGGAGCTCTGCAGAAAAGGACCTGGGAGCCCTGGTGGGGCAGCAAATTGAATGTAAGCCAGCACTGTATTGCAGCAGAGAAGGTGGACAACAGCAACCTGAGCTTTACAAAAAGAAGCAGAGCAAATAAATTGAGGGAAGTGATTATGCCCTTTACTTAGCATTTATTAGACCGTAACTAGAATACTGTTTTGTACTCTGGAACTCAACACTTGGAATTCAATGTTTTAAAAGGATTCTAAGTACATTTTAATGACAACATCAACTTTATTTTTCTTTTTAGGATACAGAGATAACTGCGATATGTGATGTTACATTTATAGGGTTTCATTATGCTTATATAAGGCACTCTCTCTCTTTGGCCCCACAGTTTTTTTTGGAGTTAATCTTCCATACATTGATAAAATAATCTGAGAGCTCTAGGAAAGTAATAGGCAAAAGAATTATTATAGTGCTTGGTTGAATAATAGGTTTTGAACTTGGTTAATTCAAAGCATACATAGAGAGAGAGCACATTCTTCAAACTGTACAGCATCCCATTAGAAACTGAGTCTGGTCACAAACTGAAAACTGGCACACGAGGCTCCCTGTCCACCCTAATACTGGAAAACTAAAAGGATATATTTCGTTTGCATCCAGAAACAGTGAACTTTTAATTTACCACACTGTCTTTTGATGTACTTAAAAACGTTGAAGTGTCATAGAGATCAAGTCTAAGCTCTATTACTTCATATAAAAGAAAACAAAGAAAACTCAAGAGTATTTTTGACTGCAACTGCAATATACTGCATAAATAGGGAACTTGGTGTGATATCACAGTAATCTCTACCCTAAGATCAAAGTTATCGGAAAAGGAAAAATAAAAGGCTATCAAATAAAGAAGTCTGTTTTCTGGAATGGAAGGAGACTAAGCTACAAAGTGTAAAACTTCCCACCGTGCTTAAACTACTTGGGCAGAACTTAAGTCCATGTTCCATATTTACATTTAAAAACGATACTAAAGGTATTATACTGTTAGTTACTGTAACTTTTATAACAGCAAGCTCCTTTCCCCAGACTATAGGTCAGCTGGTAGAAAGCTTTTCCATTGCTAGTACTGATACCTTTATATAAAAATGTCCTTCCAACAGATTTTGTCGCCTACCTTGCAAATAGAAATATAAATACTCCTGCTCAGTGATAATTCTGCCCTCATAATCCTTAATCCACAAATTTGCTTTTTTAGTTTGATTATTTAGAAAGAAAAACTTCCCAAGACCTTTCACTTACAAGACATACATAGTATAAACAACTTTGACCTGATACATGATGCATTTGAAAGCACAGCCAAAACACCCTCCGTATTCTAAACAGACTACCGTAAAGTGGGTTGTGTCTTTTTTTTTAATATTT